CACATTTGTTTCACAGTTCAAGATTCTTACATCATTAAGTTGCATCAGTTCTTGGACAGGAGCAGCTACAGCATCTCTAAGTTGACAGAGCTAAACAGTGTCAAGCAGGTTCACAGAAATCCCCACTACTCAGAGGGTAGTGGTGGATTGGGGAGTTTGGACATCACAGGGGATTTGATAGAAATGCAAAGCTTTGGGCAGGTTGCACCATGCTTACAACTGTAGGGTAGGGAGATTCCACCTGAAGATCTGTAAGAATACTCCAGTTTAAGAATCTGTGCTAAGAAATCCAAAATTGGTGCTGCAGGGTAAGATGCTGTTTTATTTATATAGTTATTATCACCATGACACACCTCTCAGTGAACTATCTAGCTAGAGTATCCAGTATCTAGAAGTAAGGATGAAAGACAAAGAAAAGCAAAACCAATTTGAGACCAAGGTTTTGCTGATCTTTATGGCTGAAACTGTGAGAATGTGTCAAGAAGAAGCTGATGATTTCTCAACCTGAAGTTATTTAGTCTCTATTTTGGTTCTTTTCCAACTAAAAGTAACTGTGTATACTGATTTTTATTTTATTTGACTCTATAGACAAAAGAAAGCACTGTTTCCCCTTTACCAGGCAGAGCCTGTGGGAGCTCTTCTTGGCTACCCAGATGGGTTTCAGGAGGGTGCCTACAGTCTGGGTGTCACAGGAGACTCATCCTGCTAGACTTCCTGAACATCAAACTAAAGGGAGCATCAGAATCATTTATAACATCTGATACAATATTCATCTATTTAAAGTTGTTTCACACTTTTGCTGCTTCTGGGAAAACCTGGGTACCCGCTCTTCAGAGAGCCAAATTTCAGAACCGGAAATGTGACTCCAACGGCTTTTCGCTTTCATCTTGGTAAGTGTGGAAAACTCAGGATATAATTGAGATTAACACACCAGGAATTAAGCTGGTGGAAGAGGAGACTTACATAAGGAAAGTGGGGGTATTTACTTTTGCACATAATTTTCATTTGCTTAATTGGGATTTAGCTCATGTACTCAGAATATAGGTGTATCCAAAGTCACTAATTACTTATTATGGATTTGATATTGATGACAAATAACTCTCATTCTTCATGGAAAACCCATGGGTCATGATTATAGCGTGTGACCTCCGATTTTGAATATCTGGCTTTAGAGATGTTTGTGTACCCACAGGCTTTATGAATATTTCTTAAACAAAGCGTAGGAAGAAACCGAGGAGAACTGGCCTATAACATGGAATTTCTAATCTTTTCATCATAAATTTTCTAAGACAGGCCTTTGTGTAAACAGGAGGTCAGAGACAAAAAGCCAAGGAAATATTTATCAGACCAAGCTTGACTAGACAAAAGCTGGTACTCAAGCCAGGGCTGGAGTCTTCTATTCTTGATTTAACAGAATGGTTTTGAAGGTCCTAGGAGAGGCCCGGAACTGGAAACACTAGAGCTGACGTCCACAAAGAAAGGGGAGTATTCCTTTAAAGGGGAACTTAAAAAGCAGTCCCCTCCAGTACTTCCTTAATGGGGCCAAGAAGGTTCCCGAGAGTCGAAGGTTTAGGTGGCCTGGCATTTTCCAGTTCTGTACAGTGACAGGGCACAGACAGGAAACCTGGCTTGGGGTTATCTGCTGAGGGTCAGATAACTCAACAGGGACATGACTGACCACAGGATCACGTAGCCTTTGTCCTCTCACCACCTGGTAGACCCCGCCTCTGTGCACATCACCTGGACAGAGCCCTCAATACTGGACAGGGCTTGCTCCCTGGGACCTCCAGGGGTCTCCTCTCTCTCCCCCGTGCAATCCTGGCTCTCCCCTCCTCTGAGCGGGGCACTGCTCCCTCCAGCACTCCCTCTCCTCCACCTCCGTCATCTCCCCCTCTCCTTCCTTTCTCGGCTCCTTCTTGCCCCTGATCTCTTGCTCTGTTCCCTCCTTCCCTTCATTCTGACCTTGGATCCACCCTTCCATCTGTATTCCGTGTCCTACACCCTGATGCATTTCCTAATGAAATAAATTTCAGGAAGGCTTCTGATGGGAAGCATGACGAGGGGGTGATTTATTGGAGCAGCTGGGCCCTCCTGGCAGAGGACAGGCCTCTTCTTCTGGCTCAGGAGGTCCTGTCTCCAGTCCTCTCTGCGTTAGCCACCTCTCCTCCTCTTTCATTAGAGGACATCCTGGGAATTCCCTAGACTTCTTTTTCCTGTTTTCTTCTTGGGAAAGGGAAGGGTCTATTTTTCCTAAGATGGACCCTAAAACGTTATCATACCTTATATTTAAAGGAATCCCCTAAGTATCTCCTGTCTCTTTAAATCAGGGTGTCCTTGTCTCTTACCTGCAAAATCACAATAACCATCCTGCCCATCGGCTCTCCCTTGTTCATATTGCCACCAGCATTAGGGTTAGTATTTGTGGTATTTATTGAGTCAAGTTCCATGCTTTGCTGGTCTCAGCCTTAAAGTCAGGAAATTTTATATTCACAGAAGTTCTACAGAGATATCATAACCAGAACAGCATCGTACTGGCACTGAAATGGGCATGAAGACCAACAGGATAGAACAGAAGAGAGAGATGAATCCACATAGATATCAGTTATCTCCTACTAGTCAGAGGCACCATAAACACACACTACAGAAAAGACAGCAGCCTCTTCAACTGGAAATCCTTATGCATCAGAGTGAATTTTAACCCCCCTCTGTCGCCTGCACAAAACTTAACTCAAAGTGGACCAAAGACCTAGAAATTAAACCAGAAACCCCGCACCCGCTTGAAGAAAATGTAGGCCCAACACTCCAACATGTCAGCTCAGGAACTGATTTTCTTAAGACTCCTAAAGTGCAAGAAGTAAAATAAAAAATCAATAAATGGCATAGCATCAAACTAAAAAGCTTTTTCACAGCAAAGGAAATAATCAAGGGCATGAAGAGACAGCCTACAGAATGGGAGAAAATCTTTGTCACCTGCACCTCATATAGGGTGTCAATTTCTAGGATATGAAAAGAACTCATAAAGCTTAACACACACACACACACACACACACACAAATAAATAAATAAATAAAATTTATAAAAAATGAACCCAAACAATAAATGGACAAAGGAATAGAACAGACCCTTCTCAAAAGAAGAAATACGATCAGTCAACAAATATATGAAAAAAAAATGTTCAGCATCACTAGTAGTTGGGGAAATGCAAATTGAAAATATACTGAGATTTCATCTCACTCCAGCCAAAAATGTAATATCAAGAATACAAGCAATAATAAGTGTTAGCAAGGGTGTGGTGAAAAGGGTACACCTACACATTGTTGGTGGACCTACAAATTTGTGCAACCACTCTGAAAGCATAATGGAGATTCCTCAAAAAACTAAGAAAGTAACCACCATTTGATCCAGTTTTATTCTACTCCTTGATATATACCCAAAGGACTTAAAATCAGCACATTACAGTGACAACCACATCAATGTTTATGGCAACACCATTCATAATACCTGAGCTATGGAGCCAACCTAGATGCTGATCAATAAATGGCATAGATGAATAGATAAAGAAAATGTGGTATATATACACAATGGAATATTATTCAGCTATAAAGAAGAATGACTTTATGACTATTGCCAGTAAATGAATGGACCTGGGGACAATCAGATTAAGTGAAAAAGCCAATCCCCCAAACCAAAGGACCAATGTTTTCTTCGACATGTGAATGCTAATCCACAATAAGTGAGGGAAGGGAAGAATAGAAGTTCATTGAATTTGATAAAGGGGAATGAAGGGAAGGGAAGGGGATAGGAAAGGGAGAGAAGTAGAATGAATCTGACTTAACTTTCCTGTGTGTATACATGACTCCACCACAGTGAATATCACCATTGTGTACATCCACAGAAATTAATTGAAAAAATAATAAATAAAAATAACTATTGGAGGCCAGGTGGGTGGCGCATGTCTATAATCCCAGCAGCTTGGGAGGCTGAGACAGGAGGACCACAAGTTCAAAGTCAGCTTCAGCAAAAAGTGAGCCTCTAAGCAACTCAGTGAGACCCTGTCTCTAAACAAAATACAAAATAGGGCTGTGGGTGTGGCTCAGTGGTCGAGTGCCCCTGAGTGTTCAATCTCCAATACAAAAAAAAAAAAAAGAAAAAGAAAAAGAAAAAAAAAACTATTGGTAAATGGCAGAAAGATCAACAGAGGAAAGGGAGCAGGAGATGGGGAGAGGGAAGGGGAAGGAGAGGTACGGTGGGGTCTTAATCAAAATAGATGTAGTCCAACCCTCAGTCATAATTTTTCAATCATGTTTTCATCACCAGTGATTAGTGGACTTCTTGTGACTTTGAAGAAGGAAAAAGAAGAGATTTTTTAAAGATGTAATCGAAATTTGAACAGACCCCAGAAGGCAGCCTTTCTGTTCATGAGTCTAAGGCTGAAGAGAGCGACTGTTGACTTCTAATAATTGTCAATCTTTTTTTATTATATATAAATTATTGGCTATTTTTATAAAACCTATATGGAAAACTAGAATATTTGGGAAGCATCTTAATCACTTTTTGCCTTCAAGATCTAGCTCCGAGTGTTCCCTCTTGGTACAAGGCTTCTGTGAGCAGCCTCTCTGGACCCTGCCTGTCCTGGCCTATGAAAGTTCAGCCCCCCAAAGGTGTCCTTCATTTGACTGCATCTCATCCCAGGATAGTTAAGAGCATGGGTTTTTAGAGAGAGGTGGCCTAAGTTTGCTTAGGTTGCCGTGTGTTCAGGGGTTGCTCAGGAACCTCTCTGTCCCTGAGTTTCGTTACTTATAAAATAGGGCTACAACAGCCAACTACTCTCACAGGATAGTTTAAAGAATAAAGCAGATGGTGTTCCTTGGGTGTGCACAGTGCTGAATATGAAGGCGAGGTCTTTTGTTGCGGTGGTCTTCCCCACTGTTACTGTGGTTAACTGTGTACCGTCTGCATTTCCAGCTAAATTATAAATACCTCGAAGGCAGGAAACTTACATCTGTAGAGATGGAAAGGTTGGACGACCTTCCTCTGCCATCATAAGGGTCAGGGTCCAGGCACCTATAACAAAGGCAGGTTTAACATGAGAAGAACATAATTTTTTTAAACTAAGTTTTATACGTCATGGGAGCCTTCAGACATGAAGACCCAAGGACCCAGGGAAAACTGCCTGTTTTTATGCTTAGGTTTGATGGAGACTGTTGACAGTCCACAGAAAGGTGACTGGGTTAAAGAGGCATTATCTAGGGGTAACTGGAGGAGGGAAACCCCGCAGGTCTCCTGGGGATGATTCTTGCCTCAGCCTGCAGCACTTCTTTCTTCCAGCTGTGGGGCAGCGAGAGTCTTCAAGGAGAAGGGAGACAGTCACTTTCTGGGTCTTAGGGCTGGCTTTAGGGGAGAAGAGCTCTAGGGTCTAGACCAACCTTGGGGAAGAGAATTTCTGGTTTTAGGAGAGAAAGAAGAGGGAGAGACAAATAGGCAGGAGAGGGTCAGAGGGAGACTGACTGGATCTGAGACCTTCCAGTCTCCTCCAGCTCAGAGTATTCAGCCCAGCAGAGGGTCACGCTTTAGGGTATCTGAGCCCCAACACATGGCTATTCAAATAAAAAACAAATTAACACGGAATGTTGGAGATAAATATCCAAAGACACAGAGCACATTTGTTAGATCTTTATAGATACCTTAAGGTATCTCTAATTGGTACTCAATATGAATACTGATAGGTATGTTGTTAGGCCTTGGGTGACATTTTATTATTTTTCCTTCATTAAATCTTGCTCAATGTTATACCAATAGAAAGTTATGAACAAATGATTATTGAAGTTACACATAACTTATTCTCATAAAGCACAATTTTGAATTAAATTGAACTTCTGCATTATAAACATGAAGTTGAATATGCTGAAGGTAAAAAACAACAATTAAAAAAAACCAAACCTTTTAAAAATTTTTTAAAAAGATTTAATATTTAAAATTTTAAATATTTAAAATACTTTAATATTTTAAAAAAGAGTTTAAAAAAGTCCACAGTGTAGTTAGGGATAACTACCTCCCCCATATTCATACTAAGATATACATTTTCTGAAAGTACTTAATGGTGCTTGGACTAAAGTGTACATTTCAAAGCACTCACATTATGACTTAATGCACTTGCAACAGGCTCCTGAGTGAGCTTACATATTGCTTAGGTTGCAAATGAAAAATGAGAAAGAGGGGGAGTTAAGACCTATGGAGCACCTTCCACACTCTCAATGGTTTTCTTTGCTTCTTTTTCCTTCTTTTCTGGTGCTGGGGATTGAACTCAAGGCCTCACATAGGCAAGAGAAGTGCCCTGCCACTAAGCTGCATCCTCAGACCTTTTTTGAAAAAAATTAAAATTCAAAGATAGGGTTTCCTTAAGTTGTTGAGGCTGGCCTGGAACTTAGGATCCTCTTACCTCAGCCTTCAGAGCAGCTGAGCTTCTCCGTTTCCCTCTTAATAGACTCTCCATCCACCCCAGCTAGTACTGTGCTCATCAAACAACAGAAAAATGTTTCACATCAAAGCTCAGAATTATAGGATCATTTAATTTGAAGACCGGAAGGAAAGATAAAAGATAACCAAGATAGCCATCAGAACAGCAACATTTTGACACTTTACTTGGGATATGACTCTGTTTTTGTCAGTTACTTTCATGCTGTTCCTTGCAGGGCAACTCACCATACCAGCTAGTTCCTTCCCCTGTGCAGGGGAGTGGAGCTTTCACATGTTCCTCTAAAGGACCATCCGGGCCAGGAATTTTGGTTTTCCTCTGTGTATTTTTTAAGGGGCACCGTCATATAACATTAGGGGCAAGAAATGCATTTTATTCTTTGACTTTATTCCTCTTAAAAATAGCCTTTGATAATAAGTCACAAAAACAACACATTATTAATTAGTAAATTGTCAAGAAGTGCTGTTTGATTCCATTCCTGTATGGGTCCATTTAAATTTCAACTGAACTTACACACATTTCTGAAATGCATTGTTGAAAATTTGGATACTTTCAAGTAAAATTAAAAAAAATGAGTTTCTCAACAGATGCAGTGATTAAGGACGTCCTTAATTTTTAAGATACTTACTAGAGGTATTTATAAATAATCCCGTTAAAGAAAAATATGATCGGTAATAAAGCCCCAAACCTTACCTGAATCACTTTGTTCTTTACATTTATTTACATAAAGCTGATTTAATATTCAAATTACTTCCAAAAGGTTTAATTTTGATTTTTTTTTTTTCTTTCACTGGAGTCTCTGATCTTTCTTTGGTTAGACGTGCTCCAGGGAGGATTTGGCGAGCTGGCTTGTCTAGGGGGTGTTAACTGAAGCAGCGTATAAATCAACTCCGGGAATTTTCACCAGGCCCCTTTTGACTTCTCACACTGACGTGACTCGTGACGTCGGTTTATTTGCTTAATTAAGAGGGGGGAAAAAGTACTGTAATAAAAAGGGGAAAAAACAGAAACAAACCCCCTAGAACGCCTGGAGGCTGGCACGCCCCTCCCACAAACCGCTACGGACGCGGAAGCTCGCGCCGTCCCAGCAGCAGGTTCCTACACGTGCCAGGCTCAGCCGGGGCGTTCCCGGCTGGGGACCGCGAACTGCGGGAGTCTGCGAGCACCTGGCCTGGGCTGGGCCCCGGACACTTGTGCTCCAGGACGCCAGCTCCGGCGCCAGCGGCGCGGGGCTCGGTGGTCCGGAGGGTTTCCTGTGTGTCAGAAACTTCACTTCGCGGAGGAGCGCGCGCGGGTAGTCGCTGGCCAGCAGCAGCCTCGGACCCAGTGCGCCCCTCGCTCTCGCGGCCGACTCGGGTGGTGGCGGCCGAGCGGGGACTGAACACACCCGGGCGCTGCAGAGACCTGCTCGCCCTAGACGACCGCCCCAGCGGCGCCCCCGAGAGCGCGGGCGGCCGGGCGCAGGCACGCCCCTCGCCTCCCCGCGAGCGCGGACTCCGCCCACCGCGCCGGGAGCTCGGCTCTCCCGCCTGCCCTCTGCACTCGGGACTGAGCCGGGCCTCGGGAAGGGCCCCGACCTGCACGGACCGCGAACAGGACGCGACCCAGAAGGGCACGGGTCGGCGGCCTCGCGTGCACCGATGTCCCCAGAGGCCGCGCGCAGGGTGAGGGGGGCCGGACGGAGCAGCGCGGCGCCCTGAAGCCTAGCTCCTCGCCTCCAAGGTAGGGAGGAGGAAGATGCCCGAGCGAAGTTGATCCCAGGGAGAAGGAGGCTGGGGTGCGCCCTCCCTACGCTGGACCTCAGCCGAGCGAGTTCGGCCTGACGTTCCTGCGCACCGGGCGTGCTCGGCAGCGCGGACCCGCGGACCCTCGGGAAAGCGCAGTTGGAAAGTTGGCGGCGGCGGTGCCCTGTGCGCCCTGTTGTGTAACCTCGGCGCCGCCAGCCGGACGGGAAGTTGCCGGCCCGCCCAGCCGCCGGGTTCAGGCGCTGCCCCGGGCCGATTTCATGGCCCCGGGGGGACGCGCGGCTGCAGCAGGCGTGGGCGAGCCCCCGCGCGCACCCTTCTGCGGGGACCTCCCGCGCGCGATCCCTTCCGCTCGCGGGCTTTGCCGATGCTCCCTGCGCCCTTTGCCACCTCCGCCCTCTCGCCGCCGCTTCCCCCTCGAAGCTGCCGCCTAATTCGGGGAGAAGAGAATGACAGAGGTGCTGTGGCCGGCTGTCCCCAACGGGACGGACGCTGCCTTTCTGACCGACCCGGGCTCGCCTTGGGGAAACAGCACTGTCGCCTCCGTCGCCGCCGTCACCACCTCCTTTAAATGTGCCCTGACCAAGACCGGCTTCCAGTTCTACTACCTGCCGGCGGTCTACATCTTGGTGTTCATCACTGGCTTCTTGGGCAACAGCGGGGCCATCTGGATGTTCGTGTTCCACATGAAGCCTTGGAGTGGCATCTCGGTGTACATGTTCAACTTGGCGCTAGCCGACTTTCTGTACGTGCTGACTCTGCCCGCGCTCATCTTCTACTACTTCAACAAGACCGACTGGATCTTCGGGGATGCCATGTGCAAACTGCAGAGGTTCATTTTCCACGTGAACCTTTATGGCAGCATCCTGTTCCTGACGTGCATCAGCGCACACAGGTACAGCGGCGTGGTGTACCCGCTCAAGTCCCTGGGCAGGCTCAAGAAGAAGAACGCCGTCTACATCAGCGTGCTGGTGTGGCTCATCGTGGTGGCCGCCATCTCGCCCATCCTATTCTACTCTGGCACCGGGGTCCGGAAGAACAAAACCGTCACCTGCTATGACACCACCTCCGATGAGTACCTACGAAGTTACTTCATTTACAGCATGTGCACGACCGTGGCCATGTTCTGTGTCCCGTTGGTGCTGATCCTGGGCTGTTACGGATTAATCGTGAGAGCTTTGATTTACAATGACCTGGACAACTCGCCTCTGAGGAGGAAATCGATTTACCTGGTGATTATTGTGCTCACCGTTTTTGCTGTGTCTTACATCCCTTTCCATGTGATGAAGACGATGAACTTGAGGGCCCGGCTGGATTTTCAAACCCCAGAAATGTGTGCTTTCAATGACAGGGTGTATGCCACTTATCAGGTGACAAGAGGTCTAGCCAGTCTCAACAGCTGTGTGGACCCCATCCTCTATTTCTTGGCTGGAGATACTTTCAGAAGGAGGCTCTCCCGAGCGACCAGGAAAGCTTCCAGAAGAAGTGAGGCAAATTTGCAATCCAAGAGTGAGGACATGACCCTCAATATTTTATCGGAGTTCAAGCAAAATGGAGATACAAGCCTGTGAAGGCATCAGAATCCCCCAAACACCTCACTTTTGTAACATGGTAGGATGCTTAACACAGCCAACTGCTTTCTCCCCTTTAAGTTTCTAGTTAAGAGAAAATTCAAAGAATGTAGTGAGTTAAAAGGGGGAGGGGGATTGAAATGCCCTCCTCTGCTCCTCTGCGCTTAGCTCATTCAGGTTTCTTTTCAGTCCCCCTTCTTACCGACTAGTAGTCTATATAATAAAACAACACTACCTAGTTAAACTTTTACTTTCTTGTCTGCCTTTAAAATTTACAAGCTTTTCTAGTTAAAGTGTGTGTGTGTGCACATGAGAAGTAGAGTTATTTAATATTAATAATTTCTCCAGGAAAGCTAGCCACCTGAAACTTGAGTTTGTGACTTGTCCTGGCTTTATTGTTTTTAATAACCCATGGCATGAACAAATTGAAAATCCATATCCTCAAACATACTTAGCATAGTTTAAGAGTCCTTAACTGAGTTCGTCCAGTAAAGAATGAACACAGCTGACTAAATTTCTTTGGGGAATTGAATAGAAATGTAAAGTCAATGAACATAAAAACCTGAAAAGTGTTTATTTTCCAGTTATTTCTGGAAAACTGCTCAAGACACCCTGGATACTAAATGTCTGATGGTAGAGGTCTGCATATATTATCTTACTGGAAAAATGCATTTGAAGTAATCAAAGTGCATGTATTTTCCTTGTAAACACCATGAGCCCTGCTAGACTTCCTGAGATAATGAGTTTACTTGCACACTGCTGGGCAGTGTCTTAGGACTTTGTTTGTGTTCCAGGACAAGTGCTCACTCACATCTGTGAAAACAAGTTTACAAAAATCACAGTAAAATTACAGAGTAAAGTTAGAGTGCAATTGAAGAATGGTTAGCAAATTGAGGGATGGGGGCAGTGTTTTCAGAAGTGGGTGGTTGAGGGTCGCCCACAATGCAGAGGCTACAATTATACTTTTAAACAGGAGGCAAGTGGGGATGGGAAAAGAACTTCTAGAACAAGGACTATAAAACCATGGTGGAAAAGGTTCTTTTTGCTTCTTCAGAGTGTTTGAAAACTTTAAATGCAATATGAAAAGGAGAAGTAGGCAGAATTTGTATGGGTTGTGTTGATGGAATAGGAAGCTAAAGTCTTCCTGAATCTTATATCCTAACATTTAAAGGAAAATGAAACATATATGGAAAGAGAAGTATGGGAAATTAAATTGAAGCATCTAAGGTATCATTGCACTGAAAAGCAAGCTGTAGAAATCAAACTATAGAATAAAGGACTGGGATATGGCCCAGTGGTTAAGTGTCTGGGTTCAATCCCCGGTACCAAAAAGAAAAAAAAAAATCCAAAACAAACTATAGAATGAAGAGGGCCTGGCAGTGTTTTCTTATTCTGCCAGGCTTTAATGAAAATTTTGTAAAATAGTTCAACAACTTAAATAATAATTTTCAGATTACTACATTTCTAGCCCTTGAATTGCTCAAATATTGTATCATGGGAATGATGAGAAAATATAACAACCACAAATAAACAGACCCAACATCCAAGGAGTTTCCAGCTGTAAAACTTGACCCCATCCAGCTGACAGCACAGCGTGCAGCTGAGGGTGGAGGACACATTTAGAAGCACCTCATAAGTGGAGACATGTAGGGCTGTATGTTAATTCAGGAAGAAAGCTCAGTGCCCCATGAAACAGCGTCACAGGGAATTCAGAAATTGGTGTCAGTACTTGCAATGCCCAGATGGATTGAGGATAGTGAGACCTTCAGAGTTGCTTCAGTTTACCCAACTCCAGCCATTAAGATCAATGAAGAAAAGCTGTATTTAGCCGTTCTTGGTAGTGCTTTTCTTTTGTTCACAAGTGCATCTTAATGCATAAGATTATGGAAATGAAGTCAAGAAGAAACCTACTTCCTCATTTTGAGCAATGAGGGTTTGCAACATTTTCACTTCATGAGGCTCATACAACATTGTCAGTTTTAAAATCCTAAGACAAAATCTACTTAATTTTTTTTAGAGTATTGACCCTTTCAAACAATATCAATATTATTAAACTGACCACAATTCCACTGCCTGTATTATACATGCACTTGCAGCCCACTGGTACACATTTCTGTAATATTTTTCTCACCATTTAATTAGGTTTTCTTCCTTTCAGGTCTCAGGATACCCAGACTCCTTGGGGGGATGTGTTAAATACATTGTTTCAGGTTCCAGAGAACTTTCTGTAGGAGCAGATCCAGCCAGAAGGTGGACAGTGGCTAGAAATGTCCTTTTACTAATTGGCATGTTTTTTCCAAAGTGTTTCTTCTTTGCTTCATGCCAACAATGACATGTGAATGCATGCCACCTAGTAACAAGAATGATCTTGCCAACTCCTTCCAGGCCAACAGAAGTCTCTGGGAAGATCTGTCCTAATGGTGAAAAACATACAGAGGGTCAGGATGAAGCAGTGATCTATTGGCTGAAAAGCTGATTCATGCCACATGAGGAAATAAGTAAGTATTTGAATGGTAGAAGCAGCAATCTGTTGGCATTTGGATGAAAGAGCTGCTAAAATTATAGAACTTAGCAGTTAACTAAGTTTTACAAAAATATTTTAATACCACCATCAAGTATTCTTATTGATTGTATAAATGGGTATCTTTGACTCTTTGAACATCAATTTGTATTTACATTGAAATAGAAAGATAAGCTAAGAAGAAATGTAGCCTGCAAGTCAGAATTCA